AGTTGAATAACATTTACTGAAGGAAGCACTAAGTTGTGAATGTAACTGCGTCGTAAATTGTGTGCCAGAAAGTACTGCGAGCCCCTGTCAGCAAGGAAATGTGCCCAAGAAGCTTGAGGCGACGTCTGCTTGGTCCCCTTTTGGAGATTCCTATCTGCTTTCCCCGCAAGACTTAAGATGTAAGGACTCTGATCATTATACAAGAACTTTGGGAACCTGTTGGGGACGTCATGACCCAGTGAGCCGAGGGAGGGCTTCGTGGAGATGGGCGGGTTGCCTTGCAGCCTGAAGTGGGGGTGAGTTTCTTGTCTGGAAAGTTTGCGTCGCCGCGGAGGACTCCTTCATTATGGACTGAAACGCTAAGGCTGTAAGGGAAAAATTTGCTTGTCCTTGCAGGTTACAAAGGGGGACTTGCGGGTGGGTCACGTACAAAGTCCAGAACGCAGTGGAGGTTTGCTACAAGTGGGGGTGGGGCCCAGATGGAAAACCTCTAAACTTACAAGGGCAAGAGTTTTCCCCTTTTCTCTTTCTAAGGATCCCATTGACTGTGAATGTGGATCTTATTAAGGGCGCGCGCGCGCGCACACACACACAACCGCGTGAACGGAATGGGGAGGGGGGCGACAGAGAGGTCACCCTGAGGGGAAGATGTGGAGAGTGACAGGCCGGCACCACGGTGGGTATAGCTGCCTGATGGCGCTGCTCCCGCCCGGCGCGCTCGCTTCCGGGCCTCTCTACCTGCCAGGGTTCATACCCACTTTGCCTTCGCCCTTCACGCATTGGGTCGCCCTCCGCCCCCTCTTGCTTCCTTCCCAAGGCAGCGGCACGGCCTGGAGGCCCAGGCTCGCTCCAAAGGCGCCCAGCGCACCGCGGATCCCCGAATTCGGTGTTGAGGACGCGGGAGCGCAGCGCCCCAGATTGGAGCGCTGCAGTTTGGTCCGCTCTAGGATGTACGCCTCTTTTCCCTTCCAGGCATGACAGGAATCCCTTGAATATAAATAGTATGTTTATTTAACAACTTGACCTCTGACTTCTACCTTGAAATCTGCAACCCGCCAGTTTTCTGTGTGGAGAGCAGGACTCTGTCCGGTCCCTGGAGCTATGGGAGAATCTCCCTCGCCCTCAACTGTAGACAGTTGATCCTTGCCAGGAAGTGTCCGTGGAGGTGGCCTTTTACTGACCTTTTTTAAGAAAAGAAGAGAGGCTTAATAATTGAGTGCACCCTAGTTCATTTTAATCTAGACCTCGGGGTCCGAAATGGTGTTAATTGCACTACCATTGCATGCACTCACCCCTCGTTTTTAATCACAATAAAGGCTGTTGGGAAAGGGTGCTGGAAGCCAGGTCCCTTGCTGGGGAGCGTTGGGGGGATTTCCTTGCGCTGCGGCCGGCTTGCTCTTCCAGGGAGACGCGTGTGCCCGTGACTCCCTCAGAACAGGAAAACAGGAATTCTCTGTTCCCGGGGCGGGGGTGCTCTGGTGGAGTTTGCAGACGACGGTGCAGCCGTAAGAATGGTGAGAGGAGGGGAGATCAGAGCCCCCTGCACGCCTGGCGCCGGTGCCTTCGCCCAGGTCCTGCTTGGGGTCCACGGGCAGCGGACAGCTTCCCCCATCCCCTCCACGCGTACCCCGCGGAGACGGGAAACAGGCCCCCCGCTGCGGTCCGCGCGCGCGCTCCGTGCAGCGTTTCTCCCAAGAGGGTGGCAGGTTCTTTCGTTTCCAAGTATTTCTAACGGAAGACACAGGAGCGGAGAGTTTGCGGGAGTGGCGCGGGGGAGGGGAGGGCGTTTGGATGAACGGTTAGTTGGTCGCAGGCGGGTGACAGTGTTTCCGCGGACTCTCCGGCCGGGTTTTTTTTTTTTTCCCCTTTTCTTTATATGGGAAGGTCTGATTCCGCGGGTTCGTTTTGTCCCCCAGTGTCGACGGCTGTTGCTCTGCAGTGAAGCCTTCGCCTTTGGTTTCTGTCTGCAGGACAGCCTCCCCCGTCCCCCTGGAGTGTCGCCCTGTTTTCAGGATCAAGGAGCTGGGAGGCCTAAGCACTTTTCAGTGGGAATAAGCCGCGAGCCTCTGGAAGGCGTGCACTTGGGAAGAGCCTGCGGCAGCCTGGTTCTTCCCGGGACTCCCAGGTTGTCCTTCAGTGGCCCCTCCCGTCAGATTGCTAGAACCCAGGCTCCTTCAAAGCACAGGCCTTACATTAAAGGGGGCGGGGGGCACCCCAAATGCCTGAGCACTGCCTGGTGTGCCCCCTTCTCTTTCTCTCGCTCCCACTCCCCTCCGGGCCCCCTTCCCTTTGCCCTTGAGCTTGTTCCTGGCGGAGCGAAGGCTAGGGGCCGTGGAATTGCAGCAGCTGCTCGCCAAAGCCCAGGTGAGGATGGGGGCGAGTTCAGGCAGGGACTGCGTCGCCTCCGGCCCCTGCAGCTGCCCACTGTCACCACCGGGACCGGGGTTGGCGGGGGTCCCGCACCAGGGTCCGGGAGACCCGGGAGAAGGCGAGGTGCGAGGAGCCTGCCCGCGCGGACTGTGCCACCAGCGTGAGCCTCCTTCACCAACATCCAGGCGACTTAAAAGATGCTGATGGGGGATGTGTGAGAAAAGGGGGTGCAAAGCCAAAGTAGGGTCTGACCACCGCAGTAGGGCTGCCACTCTGCCCCGCGGGTTGGGGCTCCCTGGAACTTAGCTGCCCCAGGCGGGCACTCTGCTGGCCAGCGAGGGGACACAGGGCGAGTGGCTAGGACCTGCCAGCCAGGAGGCCATGGCCATGGTCGCGCCCACTTTGCAGACGTGGCTGCCAGCCCTCCCGGGAGGACTGGACGCCTCAGGCAGCCCGTGGCAACCTGGGCGCTGCCCAGCGGACTGTCCAGGAACTCAGACACTGGCGCCCTCAAGCCGCCCGAGCAAGTGCAGGAAGGGGAGCGGCGAGGACCAGGCAGGGACTGCTGAGCCCAGCGCGCAGGGACCGGCAGGGAGGGCCCTGCGGTCCTCATTACGCTATCGTGGCTCTGGCCGCTGGCTCGGACTGCGAGGGTCCGGTTGGATTTTTAAGCCAGAGACCGGGTGGCGAGTCAGGACACCCTCAGCTCCGGCCACTGCCCGCGCTTAGCTTTCCCCATGCGTCCCGCGTGGTCCACTCCCTGCCCTTCTCCCGGGCGGGCGCTCTCCCTGCTCCAGTTTGCCAGGGCTCCTCCGAAGTGGGGACCCACAGCAGGTTCGGGATTGGGGACTGTGTGCTTTTTCCTGAAGGAGCTTTCCTCTGCGCAGCCCCCCAGGGCGCAGCCTCCAGCGGTGGGGAGGCCCCCCGAGGGGCAGCGGGGCTGCTGTTGCCGAAGGCTGTCTGCTACCAGAGCCCCAGGCAGGCTCCCCCAGCTGCGGCTGCGGAGCCTAGGACGGAGGGGCTGAGGCCAGCGAGCCTGAGAGAGGGGAGGAAGGTGAAGGGTTAACCTTGGCAAAGGCGCCCAAAGAACAGAAGTGGCTGACGGCCTCTCTCCCCCTCCAGAAGCACAGCCTGCTGCCACTTCCACTCCCAGTCAGCTTGTGGTGGGCTCTGTGGCCCTGCAAAAGCAGAGGTACCCTTGTACCCTCAGCCAGGCTTCCTCCACCCCTATAAGGCCCGAGGAAGCAGACAGACCGGGCCAGGAGAAGGACGCAAAGGCCAAGGCAAGATGGCTGGGTTTCCCTTCTCTGAAAATAAGAGGGAGGTCTCTCGGTATTAACACTGCCAGGGAGAAGCTGAGAGGCCTTCTGTGGCCCCTCTGTGGGTGTGGAATTCTGGGTGGACAGTTGAGACCGTGGTGTCTGACTTGTAGAAGCTGCTGGGCTAGGCAGAAAGAATTCATTTCCTGCTTCTTAATCCCTCCACATTCAAAGAACTTCCCAGATATCTGGGGACCCTGCCGCCCAGACGTTTCTAAGCACAGAGTGTGCTTCTGTTGCTGGGATGGTGTAAACTTCTCGCACAGGACGCTCAGGGTTTGTTCGTTTTTATTACGTTAAATTAAAAGAGAATGCTTCCTAGCTTTCCTCATGCCCCGGAAGTGACATTTTGGGGGTTCACCTCCTGGCATTCCTAGCAGATGACTTTTTCCGGTCTGCAGAAGGACGTTTGTTGTGGGGTTTGTGGAGATGAGGATAAGCTGGTGGGAAGGCTGGCCTCACAGTGAACCTGAGTGTGGACCCCAGTGTGCACACACTGGTCTACTGTTGGTGGGCTGTCTCTGCTGCTTCCTGAGGACCAATAGAGAGACGGCTTGCTTTCCTTTTCGTCTGAAGAGGGACTGTAGCATGGTGAATGTTCCCTAAGAGTCTCCGTGCCCTTATGCGACAGTTCTTGTTAAATTAATCAAAATGCAGATTTTCACACCAGACACAGTTGCATCAGTAAGAAAACACGCCGCAGCTGCAGGGCGCGGCAGTAAACAACTGCAGGAGCGGAGACAGCCGTGACCTTGTGTGTTATATTCATCCTCGATGCTCTCCTTGTCCTTACCCTTCTTACCTGGGCTGTTACATTGCTGCCAGAATCGATACACCTCTACCTCTTGGAATATACTTTATACCTGTTTTGTTTTTAACATGTTTGTTAAGAGGCCAATTAATTTCTATCCCATCACCCGATGAAGTTTGTATAAATGAGGGCTCCCTGACATTTTATTAAATTTTTGCCTATTTCTCCTTTTGAAAGAAAAAGGGGAAATAAGTGGCGCACAAACTAAATAATTTGAGGTTTAAGGTGATGTCAATTCTTCCTAAACCCATGCCATAGAACAATATGCAGAAACAGTAAAATAGGCCGAAACTCAGAAAATCACTGCCGAACTAAGACTGGCTGAATTTCTTGTTTCAGCTGAACAACAGCCCGCGTTTCCCTGAATTCTGTCACAATGTCTAGCTTAGCAGCCCCTCCACGGTCACCGGAATCAGAGGAATTTTTCTGAGTGGGACAGAAAGACTTTGGCAGAGGAAACATCTGAACGCGTTTCTGTTTGTTCTCTCCTAGATTTGTTGGTATACAACGCATCCGACATCAACTATTCTGCTGGTCGATATAACCCTTCCGCGAAGGTCCCCTTCGATGCCGGTTTTGAAGGCATCGGTGAGGTGGTGGCCTCAGGCCTTTCTGCCAGTGCCAGCTACACACTTGGCCAAGCTGTGGCTTACATGGCACCTGGCTCTTTAGCTGAGCATACAGTTGTGCCAGCCAACATTGCCAGCCCGTGCCCTCTGTGAAGCCTGCGTACCTGGCCCTGCTGGTCGGCAGCGCCACTGCATACCTCAGCCTGGAGGAGCTTGGCTAGCTGTCTGAAGGGAAGAAAGTTTTGGTGACAGCTGCTGCTGGGGGGACAGGCCGGTTTGCCGTGCAGCGTTCAAGGAGGGCAAAATGCCACGTAATCGGAACCTGTTCTTCTGACACAAAGTGTGTTTTCCTGAAGTCTCTCGGCTGTGATTGCCCCATCAACCATACGAAGGAGGGTGTAGGTGCGGTCCTTCGGCGAGAGCACCCTTGAGGTGCGGATGTGGTCTATGAGTCTGTGGGGGGGGCCCTGTTTGACTTGGTGGTGGATGCATTGGCCACCAAAGGGCACTTGATCATCATTGGGTTTGTCTCTGGCTACCAAGCTCCTACTGGCCTTTCACCTGTGAAAGCAGACACGCTGCCAGCCAGACTGCTGAAAAAATCGGCCAGTGTCCGGGGCTTCTTCCTCAACCATCATTACCTTTCTAAGTATCAGGCAGCCATGGACCACTTGCTCGAGATGTATGAGCGTGGAGAACTGGTGTGTGAGGTGGACGTTGGAGTGCAGTCTCCAGAGGGCACATTTACGGGCTTGGAGTCTGTATTCCGCGCCATAGATTATATGTACACGGGAAAAAACACTGGAAAAATGGTCGTTGAATTACCTCACTCTGTCAACAGTAAGCTGTAAAAACAGAACAATGACATAAATCAAAAGAGAACGAAAATGGGCGCTTTCTGCCTCGGAATTGCGAAAATCAGTGTATTTTTTAGTTGGTTGTAGGTATAATATTTCTTAAAAACAAAAGTAGAGTGTTAATGAATCTGTTTCTCTTTCTTTGCCCCTCCCTCGGAAAACCCTAAATGTGCTAATCAGCCTGCCTTGGACGGCTAAGGGGTAAACCGTGCACAGTGAAAGCTTTAGCCGTGGGCCGTCTCCGTCTAGGGTTTATTGTTCCAGGGATGAAATTAATTCCCGATGCAAGGGCTGATCATGTCAGTATGACTTTAAAAGTGGGCTTGAGGGTACTCCCCCACCTCTTGCCTTTGGGATAAGGTGGCCATAGGCTGCCCAGGACTTCATACACCAGAGACATAGCAAGTGCCCTGTGTATTTTCAGAATCCACGTCGTCAGGCAAGGCCACCAGCCACTCAATAGAAATTTGGGAGAACTCCCGCCCTCTGTTCAATGATGCTAAGTTACTTGACAAGATGATTGGGTGAGCACAGATTGTTTAAAGATGAATCTGCTATTTGATGGCTTGTATCCTTATCTGTCCTGGGGAGGTATACATGCAAAGGAGGATGTCCCTCTCCCCTTAAGAGCATGAGCGTGTGAAGATGCAGATACAGGAGCAAGCAGGGACTTGACAAGTTAACGTGTGCACAGGAGGGAAGGGTGCGCGCTGACAGGGAGGGGTCACGGCGCTGAGCACTGACCGCAGCAGAAAGCGCACTGTAGGTGCCCTGCAAGGGATTGGGCCGGTAGACATTTGAACAGAAGCAGGGAACGCCCAGTAGCACCCCCACTTAGGGACTGAACGGTCTGAAACAGCGGTGCATCTGCTCAGCCACTGGGGCTTTCGGACATGAAGGTGTGCCTTGTGTCTGGTCGCAGAAACGCAAGGTAGCAGTCATTGATGGTATGTTCCATTACCTGTCTCCAGATGTCTCCAGATGTCAGATCTGTGTCCTCACTGACCACAAGGAACAGGCCGGGCCAACTCTGCTGAGGCCTGCCTGGGGGTGGGGAGGGCACGCCCCCGTGCCTCCAAGTGTCAGGTAGGAGTCACCTGACCTTGGTCCTGGCTTTCCGGACCCTGTTTAGAAAGCAGAGTGCAGGTGCGGGTGCCCCGGGAAAGTTTGGGACCATGCTTGATTTTTCCTCCTTGCCCTGGGAGCTGCGAAATCCTGCCGCGGAGGAGCTGTGAGTATCTGTTCTACGAGATTTGCTCATTTCTAGGTACCTAATGTAGCCGCTAGCATGCACACACAACAGGACAATTTATATGGTAAATGGGACCAAATAATGACTTCCCTGAATGGCGTGGCTGCACTGGAGGGGATGTCATAGCAAATAGCTGCCAAATTATGACTCCCGCTGAAGTGTCACACAGCTGCACTAGAGACGGATGGCACTGAGGGCCGCCGCGATGGGGCCGCGCCTGAGTTATGAAGAGGAGTTGCCGCCGGATGGAGGGGCTCTTTGTGTCCTCGTTACAGCAGAGGGGGGCTGGCCCCGCGGCCGCGGAGCGCGCTCGGCCACGGCAGGCCTCAGTGATCAGTCTGTCCCTTCCAGACCTCGCTGCCGTAGCAAAGCGGAAAGAGGCTTTGCCCGGCTCTGCTCTCCACACACAGACAAAGGGGGAGAAAACAGGTTTTATGAATGTGACTGTGCACGGGAAATGGCTGGTAATGGAGAAATGGCGGAAGGAAATCATCTAATCAAGGCTGTGATGAAACCCAACATGGTCTGGGTCTGAAAGGCCCTTGGCTGCTTCTGCACAGAGATGTGGGAAACCCAGGCAGGGCTGCACTGCTCCGAGTAAGGGCCGGAGCAGGGAGGACGGAAGCAGCTCATGGGCCGCTGCGAGCTGAAGGGAGACCTGGCTGCTTGCACGTGAACGGGAGGGCGAAAGGGATGAAAGACTGGCGTTTGAACGGATGGATCCCGTTAGCCACAGAATAGAAATGCATTCTATTTTGAGACAGATGAATTCAGCTATGTAAAAACAAAAAATCACTCAAGCACCAGGTTTAAAATAAAATATAATCAAAATGTCTCACATCCTGTTGTCCCAAACTCAGAAAGCTTACTGCACACTGTTCCCAATTATTCTCAGACAGCAAGCATGAAAGAGTCCACCCATCGGGATAATGCCAAAAATATGTAGGCCCCCCCCCTTTAAAAATCCTTTTGAAAGATGATTTGTAAATTACAGGTCATAGTTCAGAGCACTTTCACTCTGGGGATTAGCACCCAGTCCGGCTGCTGATGGGAGGTGAAGTGGTGTGAGGGCACCCACACTTTTCTTCTGAAGTGTGGTCCGTGCCCCAGTGAGAGCCATCCATAATTTAGGGCCACTGTCAGTCTTTGTTGTAGAAAAGTGGCCAGGCCTGCACCATCATGGCAGATAAATTATTTCTCCATCCTCAGCGTGGCCTTCTCCACACGCTAGCCGTAAGGTCATGGGCCGGGCACTGAGGGCGAGCTGGCTCTGGGAAGCCCGCAGAGAGTGGAAGGCGGCCCAACCGTGACTTAACAATTAGGTTGTGATTCCAAAATGTGACATACTGTTCTTTCACATGCGTCTCCCAGGCCAGAAACAGCCCCTAAGAGATGGCACCGAAGGTTCCTGGGATGAGGACTGCTGCTGTTGACCGATTGCTGCATTTGAAAAAACAGGCCCAAGCAGTGGTTTCACACAGTGGGATGTTTGAATTGCCAGCATACAACTCGTCTGAGCAGTTTCTCAGAATCCAGCAGCCATACGCGGTCATTAGGGTTACACTCAGAAGTCATCTCGTGCAAAACTGCGTGACGAGTAGCCGCCGCTTATCACAATGGCACTCCTGCCTAACATAATTGAGAACGTTCGGCGAACGAGGGTGTCATGTCCGCAACCCTCTCCAGACCTCCTTTTGTGTTCACAACCACACAATGCTGGAAATTCAACAGATGACATCATTTAAGACAGATGCCTGCCCCAGGGACCTGGTTTTTGGCTTCCTGTTTCTGGCTTTTATTTGGGTAACATTTATAATGGCCACCCGACTTGTACCTGGGTAATATTTTAACCCCTCCAGAGGATTCTCAATTAGGGTGAGTTCACTACATGGGGATATTCCTTTAACACGGAACAGCGAGGTGGGGGGAGGGGAGTTCTCGGTCCTGAAACCCATTCTCTCGACCACATTAGCACATGTGTGTGTGGGATAAACCCCACAATTTAGATGTATCTAAAAACGGGTGAGAGCTGTGCGATATTCAATGAATAGCTTTTTAAAAAGCAGAAGGACCAAGCGTGGACTTGGGCCGGTGATTCCCTGGGGGCTACAACGCACGTCTCTCGTACACAGCCCAGGTGCACAGGGGCCTTGAGGACGCCTTGTCTGCTTGCCACTCTGCACTGAGCGGGCAGCTTAGCCTCTGTTATTTATAGCACTTAGTTAGCAACACAGGGTTTATCTGTGCAAATGCCATTAGTTAATTTTGTTTGGTTTCTGGGAAGCCTTTTTTTTTTTTTTTTTTTCAGGAAGTTAGATTTCTGTAACTGGTTTCCCTGTTCCAGCCCAGAATTAACTGTTTAAAATCAGATGGCTGAAGAGGACGCAACATCTGGGATGCGGGTGCTATCTCGGGACGGGCATCTTAAATCTTCTCATTTTACTAGACCTTCGGTGTCAGGGCAGTTCAGTTCCTAAAGGGAATTCTTGACATCAGGATCTTACTGCTGTTACCATGGGGATGTCAGAAAAAAAATGTCTTCAAAGTATATGGTATTTTACCAACATGCCTCAAGCCGAGTAATTCTTGGCGTTAGGGAGTTTTATTCAAAGAAAGCCAAATAAGGATCTTATCTCATTTATGTATACTTGAATATTCAGGGCCTCTCGGTAACCAGTTGCCATTGCGTTGACCCCACAGCAACATGACGGGTGTCGGAGAACTGGGCTCTGCTGGTATTTTGGAAGCAGATTGCCAGGCTTTCTGAGGGACTTCTGGGTAGACTTGAACTTGAACTTCCAGCCTTAACTTCCAAGTTCTTAACTGTGTATGC